TTTAACTTCAGATTTTTTAATATTTAAAGAAACTTCTTTTTTATATATAATATTCAATACTTTTTCATTACCCCTAACAGTAAATCTAAAGAATACCATTTTGGAGTCTATAGATCGCTTTTGCTCATTGGCCTTAACATAAATTAAATTTTAACGCCAATTTTAAGATAAATTCAATTTAGTTAAAATCTTTTGAAAAAGTGTCTTACCCACTATAGATCCTATTTCTAATCGGTTCTGACGTATATTAACTATATATAGTTGTCAAAGTATAATATTTAAATCAATTTTTACAAAAAATACTAGAATTCCGACCAAGAAAGAGCATATAATGAAGAAAAATTGCCAATAAACAATCAGAACAAATCGTATTATTAAACTATGATGTTCATTTTACCTAAAAAACGTATTTATTCAAATTTGAAAAAGCGATTATGATTTTAATAAGATTTTTTTTTTTTTTTAAAAAAAGAATCTTCGGTCTGGGTTTTATCGCTACAACCATTTAAATTTTATGATTTACCGAAAAATTTATCATTTTATTTTTTTTTCGCCTTTTATAATTTACAGACCTAATGATTTAATCATTTAAATTTTTTTTCGTCTTTTTTAATCATACAGACGCTATAATATTTTAGAATTGCCTCAACTACCCCGAGTATGTTTTTTATAGAAGAATCCGAAGTAAAAAGGAGTCATTGTAAGGCGTCAAAGTTTGTCAATTAGGTACTTAATTAGTATTATTTAATTCAAATTATTTTTTTAGAAATTGAATTTCAAACTACTTCTTCCAACATTCAATTCAATAATACAAAGCAATCCTAAGAATCATCTGTTTTAGCAGAAAAATGTTATTTAAATGTATCAGCAAAAAAAAAACAGACAGAAAATATTAATAATAATGGTCTAATTAATAAAAGTATAAGTTCTGGGTTATTGTCACGTGTTTTAACAAGTCAGAGTCAAAAGAGCGTATTTGATGAGCAGATTGCAAGAATGTTTTTGCAACAAATTCATCATTTCAATTAGTTGAACATACAGAATTCCAAAAACTTATTGATGTTGAGGCCAGGCTATAGTGGCCAACAAGAAAAAACGTAGTTGACAAACTCCTAACAATAGTGTTTGATAAAGAAAAGAGTAAGGTTAAAGACGCTCTAAATGGAGAAATTTTAAATATAGAACTGGATGGTTGGTCAAACGTTCACAAGGAGCCTCTAGTTTGTATTACAGTTACAACTAAACAAGTGATGTCTTTTTAGCTGTCACAATTGACACATCTAGAAGCTCGCACACTTCTGAATACTTTGAAGAAATAGCAGTTTCATCAATTAAAAATATAGAGCTTGAATTCGGGTGGTCATGTAGGATGCATTGTTGTTGACAATGCAGCTAATATATCAAAAATGAGGCAAAATATTGAATTTCGATCAGATATTAATATAGCTACATATGGTTGCTCTGCACATTTAATGAATTTGTTAGCACATGACCAAGAAATTGACAATGTTAAAAATCATATAGTAAATATTGTCAAATATTTTAGGAACCACCATTTTGCTTTGGCAGAATATAGAAAAGCTGGTGGAAAAAAACTTGTATTGCCTCAAGATACTCGCTGGAATACAATGTGTGACTGTCTAAAAGTGTATATTGTAAATATACATAGATTTTGGTCAACTCTGCTAAAAATCTATGAGTCTAACCAGGCCATAATTGACACTACAGTGCAATAAAATGTCTTTAACTTAGTTATTAAGAGATCTGCAAAAGATCTACTTGCTCGCTTAGAACCTATTTTTGCACTTGATAAAGCACAAAGTGACAATTTTTTTGTTTGTTTGTTATTTAGGTACCCCAAAAAGACCTAACGGTCTTGTCACAGAGCACCGCAGAAGTGCGTTTAACCAGGAAGTTCACGCTTCCTTCCTTACCGTGACGTGATCATATGTCCAAAGCTCGTTTTGAACCTAGATCTCCTGCTTATAAAGCAAGCGCGTTAACCACTGCGCCACGGCCGCACAAATGCAAAATAACAGATGTAGTGGAAGTATGGAAAAATCTAGAAAACATACTTTGGTGTAAAAGTGAGAAAGTTATACAAAAGAAATTCAAAAAAAGATACGAAAAGGCAGTGACACCATCCCATTTTCTGACTAATCTTCTTTACCCTCATTACCAAGGTAGAATGTTGAATGAAATTAAAAAAAAATACTGCGTTGGAATATGTCAATCTACAATACCCATATATTATTTCTACAGTTAAGAAATTTAAAGGAAAGTTGTACCTATTCCTGGAATTTGAATTTAGCTTAGAGGTTTTGACAGCATTATCGTCTGTTCAGTGGTGGAGATTGCACTGTGGTGACTTTAAAAGTAAATTATTAAATACAATTTTGCAATTGATGACTGCGGTAGCTTCATCTGTAGGAGTTGAGCGTGTGTTCTCCTCTTACGGCTTAGTACATTCAAAATTGAAAAAAAAATTCAGTACAGAAAAAGCTGTTAAGCTTGTGTTTCTCTTCAAGGCAATTAATCAGCAGATTATTCAGTTTGAAGTTGATGATTAATTTTATTGCTGCACGCAGGAGAAAAATTTTTTAGTTTTAGTTGATAATTATGTTTATTGATTTGTTTTGCGCACTGTAGCATTACCTGTTTTATTTTTTTTTGTTGTATACTTTATGGAGTGGCGTAACTAGGGGGGAAGCATAACCCCGCAAGGCGGGGGGTCCCGGAACTTAGAGGGCCCCGTGTAGATTTACAAATTTTACTCATATGAATAATATGACTGGTAATAATAATATGAGTGTTACTAATTTCTGTTTCATCAAATGCATTTTATGAATTTATAATTTTTCACGTATCCCTACGGGCATTTTTTTAAAAAAGTTACATTCTAATTTAAAACGTTTAGAATTTCTAAACGTTGAAAAAACTTAAAGTAAAGTAAAAAAGTAAAGGGGCCCCCTTTACTTTTTTTGCGAAGGGGTCCTTAATTTATAGTTACGCCACTGACTTTAAGTCATTAATTCTATAAATACATAGTTCTGCTATATTTAATTAGTTTTGTTTTGAAATATAACAAAAATAGCTTTTAAATAAATTTTTATTATTCAGAATAACAAATCAAACATGAAAGAAAAACTTGATGTAAATCATTCGTCATCCAAAAAAATCTTTTGATTTAAATCTTGATTTAAATTACTAATTTAAATCGATTGGATTTAAATCAGCCAACCCTGACTCCGAGTAATGTTTTCTAAAATACGTACTAGGTGAAATGAGGCGTCTAACCCGACCCGAACTGGGCTTTGCGTAAAAGCCGTAATTAGAATGGAACGCGGCTGAAAGTTTTAAAAATATAATTGAAATAGTAATTTACATCAAAAAATGTCAAAAGAAGAGTTAAGCACTAGGCAGAATATTCTTAATGATTTAAATCAAAGAAAGCAACAGCTTTTACAGCAAAATATTGCAAATAATCAAGTTTTACCCTCTAGAACACTTAAATCAGATATACGTGTAGAAGGAAACTACCAATCACCGTTATCTAGAAGATCTGCTTTAGAATATGCTTCTGCACATTCTGTAGGTTATTATATAGCACAGGACTCTCAATACGGAAATCATATTTTGCCTGTAATTCCAAGAATAGAGGATAATTGAAAGATTTTTATAAACATTTACAGTTATACATAAATATATATATATATAACTATTATATAACTAAGTTGTATTTTTCCACTGTATTTAAAAAAGAAAATATAGGTTATTTAATTATTTAATTTCCTTTTTTTTTTTACTTTTTGTGCATTTTGCATTTGTTTGTTTATTTTTGTATTATATTTGTATACTAGGATGCAAAATTTGCGATATAGTTAAAAAGAATATGTAAACATGTTACTTTTTAATAGAAAAGAACTTATTTTAGGGTTTCACATTGTCAATTATTCATGTAAAGTAAACTTTATTCTGCTAATTGGTTTTTTTTGATAAAACAATACTACAGTAGAGGTTTTCATATATGCAGGTTTAGAATGTAGTTATGTGTTATCAAAATTTTTGTAATTTTATTAAATAGAACTTTGATAATTCAATTTTAGCATCATCAATAAAGCAAGATTTTTTTTTTGTATTACCACACATTTTTTTTTTGTATTACCACACATTTTTTTTACCATTTAAATCATATGGTCAATCTTGTATTAAGCTTTTGTTTATCACTTAATATTTTGTGAAAAACAAAATATTAGGTGATAAACAAAAGGTTAATACAAGATTGACCATATGATTTAAATGGTAAAAAAAACAAACTTGAAAAATATCATTGATAATGACAATGTCATTGACAATGACATATTAGATTCAAATGTACACTAATCTCAAGATAGCTTAACATTTCTTTTTTCACCTGTTAGAAACTCACAACATTCACTATCCTCTCAAAACTGTTAACTGTATATCTTATAGTTAGTACCTAATTTTATGTTTTTAACCTTTTGATTTTTTAAAGAACTTACATCATATAATATGAAGCCAGCAACATTTTCAATTTAACTAAGTTTTGAATATAATGTTATGCATTTTTTGATGTATTAAATTCATTTAAAATATGACAGATGTTTGCTTTATGTAGAGTCTCTAAATCCATATTAATGAGTGCATCATATTGTGTCCAAAAGTTGAAAATTAATTTGCTACTTAGTTTACATTTAAGTTTTTCTGTTTTTAAGCATTTGTTAGTAAAGTTCTAGGGCTAGTTTTTTGAGATTTTAGATTACTATTTAGCATTTTTTTTAAATATGTAGCAAATTTAAAAGTTAAATTGTGTAAAGTTTGAAATTCTCTGCTCCTTCCTCCTAATCTTAAAATCAAAAAATTTTGAAAAAAAAAAGTTAATTTGACAAATGATGTTTATGAGTGCTATAATGAAAAAAACTCATTGTTTTTTTTTTTTTTTTTTTTTGTCTCTAACATTTACAAAATATAAATAAATGACATTTTTACTTGTTTTAAGAAAAACAAAATATAAATGCTATTAATTTCAAAATCGAAATGTTTGTTAAAAGGAAAAGAACCAATTATGGTTAGTATTAATCATTTGAATTTTTTTTTCATAATTCAAATTAAAAATAAAAAAATTTTTTTACAGGTTTTATTTTTAGAAATTATCTTATGTCTATTTAAAAACATCACCATTTACTTGTCAAAGCAAGCCAGTTGTTAGTGCTAAGGAACCTTTCATGATTATGGCAGAGCCTGGTAAGAAGTATTCTTGGTGTTCATGCGGTCTTAGCCAGAAGCAGGTAAGTTACAGTATATATACATATGTGTGTGTGTGTGTGTGTGTGTGTGTGTGTGTGTGTGTGTGTGTGTGTGTGTGTGTGTGTGTGTGTGTGTGTGTGTGTGTGTGGTGTATACACATTTATAAATGAGTGTTTAGATTCAGTACATGTATTGACTTATAGCAAAGGAGTTTTGTTACTTTGAGAGTTTAGCATGAGGTAGCAATCTTTTCTTTCATTATTCTTTATATTTTTCTTCTTTTTCTGAAAAACACGATATGATATAAAGGTAGGATAAACTAATAACAATTTGTTATCTAAATATGCTATAGAATATATATATATATATATATATATATATATATATATATATATATATATATATATATAAATATATATATATATATATATATATATATATATATATATATATATATATATATATATATATATATATATATATATATATATATATATATATATATATATATATATATATATATATATATATATATATATATATATATATATATATATATATATATATATATATATATATATAGTAAAGGTCTAAAAATTAATGTTTATGGTTAAAAAAAATGTGTCTTCTCAACTTGTGTTTAAAAATTAAAAAATCAAGTAAATTTTATCTAAAAAATCATTAAGTTTAATTGTTTAACTTATTAATTTTTATTCTTTTTTAAAAAACCACAAATACACAACTTAATAGACTGAAATGTTTTTTATTTTTTTAAATGAAAATAGAAATTTTAGGAATATTTTTTATTTTTATTACATTGTCTGAAAAATAAATAGAACATACCAGGAGTATACATTTACTGACATGTAGGTAAAATATGCAAGAGGTGCTGCTAGATCAACTGACAAAAAGGTAGAACATGCAAGGAGTGCACCAACATTGACTGAGGTTAAAGTAGCAGTAAAAGACAAACATAAAATTTATCTCCATTTCATCTCTGCAGGCTGCTATACTCATGCAAATCTATGAAATACACATAAAGTTGCATATGAAAATGTTAAAATAATATTCAAAGAACTATTTTATGCTCAAGTCTAACTCAAAACACCTAATTCACAGCCTAGAAACAGCAGGTGGTTTAGCAACTATAAAAAAAAGAAGAAATATGCACAACACTAAGTAATTATTTCTTGACAGTTCCCAATCAAATTAATCTAAAAGAAATGTAAATCCACAGGTAATGTTCCAGATGTGGAAAAAACCTATAATTATTGGTAAAAGTTACTATTTTAAAAAGAAAGTAATAAATTCCAACCATTAAAAAACAGACCAATATAATTGACATCTATAGTCTGCCAAGTCACAAGAGTTGTATTATGATATTTTGGGCAACGCAAAATCTAATAACCAAAGCTTAACATTTCTTAAGCAAGGATGTGTCATAAATCTAGCAGTACGCCACAGGGTTTGGTTCTTAGTTCACTACTATTCATCTTATTAACAATTTGGCAGATACTATAGTACATCATACTAAACTTTATGCTGATGACTGTACAATTATCAAAATGTTTAATATGTAATGAGTACTACTCAAGCGCTGAGTTGATGTTGGCAGAATTTGAACTCATATTGTACAACAGTCTGGGTTTTAACTTTTTATTTGGCCCTCTAACCAACTTAGCTAATGCATCCACATATATAAAGTTGTTGACTGGTCACACAAGTAGCTGATGCTTTTTAACATTAATAAATATAGAATAATGCATGTTGGGCGTATTAACAAGCCAACACACTCATACACAATGACACAGTCAGGAGCTCTTGTAGACTTAAAGAATCTATAGATTAACAAGACTTTGTTATAATTGCAAACCAAATGCTTACCTGTCTCAAAAAAACTTTTCGTAGCTGCAGACTACCTTTATAGAAAACATTATATCTTGCACACAAATGATAACACCTAGAATTATATTTTTATAGAAAACATTATATTTTGCATACATTTGCCCACACCTAGAGTTAGCAGTCTGGATTTGGCCTCATAAACTTAAAAAAATATTGTAATGATTAAGTCTAAAGGCATGTGACTAAGGCCATACCAGAGATAAAATATCTACTGTATAAGAAGAGATTGCAAAAGCTGAAATTTAAATCTTTTGAGGATTACATGATAAAAGGTGACTTTTACAAATAGAATAGCAAAGCACTCAAATTCTCTTTCACAGCAAACAGTTGCCCACACCTGCAAAAACATTTTAAGAGTTTTTATCATAACTATTTTAACTTGTTGCTTTATTTGCAGTTTACCTGTGTCTAAAGCAAGGGTCTAATGCAACTCTCCTTCATTAGTTTAAAATACATTTTTACAATTAATTTTTATTTATATATATTCTTCAATATAAACTTGAACTGACAATGATTATATTATATACAATTGTATAGATTGTTGTTTAAAGTTAAAATATATGTTTATATATATATAAACATATATTTTAACTTTAAACAATATAAACATATATTTTAAAGTTAAAATATATGTTTATATATATATATATATATATATATATATATATATATATATATATATATATATATATATATATATATACAACTTTATATTGTGTATGTATATATATATATATATATATATATATATATATATATATATATATATATATATATATATATATATATATATATATATATATATATATATATACAGTGCTTGAAGTGAGGCGGGATGCATTGGGATGCCCGTCACCTTTTTATAAAGTATAAACCATGCCTCCACCTTTTTATAAATTTCTATATGCAATAATGATTAGGATGGATAGTATTTTTAATTTTTCAAATTTCAAATCCTGTTACTATTTTTTCTCCACTTCGAGCACTGTATTTATATATGTATATATATATATATTATATATATATATATATATATATATATATATATATATATATATATATATATATATATATATATATATATATATATATATATATATATAGGGCTATTCTAGACCGTTTTTGACAGCATCAACCCGTATTTGGGCGCCGCCCAAATTAAAATTTGAGGATTTTTTTTTTACGTTTTTTACAGCAAATATTGTTTTTTTCGCAAAAAAAATGCCCATTTTCCGCTCAAGTCTGCCGAAACAAGGGGGTACCTCTGCCCAAATTTTTTTCCTAGAATAGACCCTTATATATATATTATATATATATATATATATATATATATATATATATATATATATATATATATATATATATACACATTTAGACTAAAAATGAATAAAGTGCATTTTTTATAAGATTTTATGATTAAAACTTTTTCTTTTTTTTTTTTTTTTTAACATTTATATAAATATATATTTATAAAAATATGTTTATATAGATTTATTCGTGGTAACATTCGTTTTTCAAATAAATAGAAATAACATCTTTAGATACATTTAAATTGAAATATGAAGAGATCAGTGTTATAACACTTTTAAGTTGGTTATCCCGAATGGCATTCCTAATTTCAAAAGATGAGAGATACTTTAAGAATATTGTTTTAATAACAATAATGTTTTTGAAGTAATAAATGAGAATCAAATTACATCACTGTTGTAAAAAAATGAATTATTGCTTGATGTCTTGACCCAGAAAAATCCTTTGGAGGTATTATTGTACTATCATTGGTGGTTATTGGGATTTAAGTCCCTAAATCTGTTTATACTGTTCGTGGAAGAAAATCCATTTTCAAATATTGCATAAAATTGCATTAAATACATAGTTTATAAGCAACTAACAAAATTGGTTTTAAGAATTTTTATTCATCCCAAAAACATAACAAAAATATTTATGCAGTAAATTCACTGGTAAATAACAATTTTCTTCAATTTTGACAAAGTTTTAATTCTAATTGTTTTTTCTTGAGAAAAATGTCTGAACTGATTTGAAATATTCCTAATTAATTTTTTTACTGTTGAAGTCTGTGATGCATCTTTGCAGCCTGTCTTCATACTCTGGGTGGTTGCTTGGTCTCTTGTACCTTTGCCAATGAGCACTAAAAGGATGATGGAGTGCTTCAGTTTTGCTGAAGCAATTCAATCATTGCTTAGAATAAATTCCCAAAGAGTTATTGTGGCGTTAGATGAATTGAAGAACATGGTGGATAACATCATGAACCTTTGGAGTGATGGTGGAATCCTAAAATTGTAAATAGGAAACTATGAATTGCTATATTTTTTCAATATAGCTTTCATCAAGGACATTGCCAAAACAAGCATGGACAACATCATTATATTTTCTGGGATTCTGAATAAGTGCAAAATGGCGTAAGTACAAAGCGTTGCAAAAATTGGTATAGGTGCAAACTGAAAAAAAATTGGCATATGTGCAAAGTGCGCCAAAAGGTTTGCAAACTTTGGTATAAAAGTGAATTGGCATGAGTGCAAAGCAGTTATAAAAACTGCATTAGTATGAACTGGCATAAGTGCACCGAATAATATTGCTAATTTGCACTTATGCCAGTTTGCACTTATGCTAAAGTTAACAAAATGTTTTGACACACTTATGTCAGTTTGCATTTATGCCAATTTGCACTTATGCCAGTTTTTACAACTGCCTTGCACTTATACCAGTTCGCGCTTATGCCAATGTTTGCAAAATTTTTCAGCGCACTTATGCCAATTCGCACTTGAGCCAGTTTTTTAACTAGTTCACACATGCTAGTTCGCACTTATGCAAGTTCACTCTTACGCCAGTTTGCGCATACACTATTTGCAGTTATGCCAGTTCGCACTTATAAAATTTGCGCTTAATCAGTTGTCCAGAATTTTCTTAGTGTGTCAATTAAAGGAACAGATGGAAAGAAGGAGTGCTGTTGGGCCAATCTCTCCAAAACATCCACATTCTTCAAAAGCTTCCTGCACTCATTTCTAGCCAGTTGTTCACCATGAAATAGTTGCTGTTGAATATGATGTAATGCCAGCCATCCAGGAGCATGTGTTCAAATCTTTGAGAGACTGAAGAAGATGATTTACTACACCAAGCAACAGATGAAGCTCCATGGGTGGAAGCGCATCAATTACAAAGAATTTATCTGAAGCATAGATGATGGGTGCATGAACAGAGTTTCTGAATAAACTTGCTTTCTTAATTTTAGCATCAACCACATTGAATGGCTGATAATCTCTACTGATTGATCCAAACGTTCTTAGAGATTCACACTTTGCAAGATCTTTTGATGAAATGTCACACCAAGGGCATGATATATACAAATGATATATACCAGCTTCATATCACAGGAAAAAACGAAGGGAAGTTCATCAAGATTCAGCAGACCAAAAACTTGCTTGACATTGCTGTATTTTATCCAAAGATTATCAGAATTGGCAATTGATAACTAATGCTTAACATTATAATCTTTATCCAGAGAATTAATGAGAAGTTGTTTTGATAGCGGAGATTGTGAAGCTGAATCTTTTTTCATTATTTTTCTAAAAGTAAGCTTTTGAAGTCTTTTAGAAAACCACCATCATCCACTCCCAACTTTACAATGTTGTCATCAGAGAAATTTATATTTTCAAGAACTTGCTGACAAAGTGTTTTCAAGTATTTGAAAAGAATAACAAGTTTATCTACCTGATTTGTTCCCTTGTCAGTTGCAACTTTCATCCAAGTTTTGTCAAACTGACTTTTAAGTTTTTTACTCAACTGATCAAACTTGGAGAGGAAGTTGTTTTCAACAAACCGACTTGGAGCAACTTAATTTAGTGTTGACACAAGCTTTTTCACACCAAAATTGGACAGCCCTGTTTTGTGTTGCACATAAACAAAATTTTTTACTGTTTGTTCTGGTCCTTTATTGAAAAGTCTTCTTGCTCTTGAAGATGAACCTTAAAAATAATTAAGACAGATTTTACATTATTATGATCTTACATAAATTTAAAATATGATGCTATAACTTTAACTACCTAATACAATGTTAATTTTTTAAAATTATTTTGGTACAGAACTCATTAATTCTTTTTTAAACTAAAAAAATGCAACCAATTTTTTTATTTTCTTCCTAAAACAACCTATTTAAAAGTTATAACAAATTAAGTTTTATTGCTCTAGAGTTAAATATATTGCAGTTTTCTTAAATTGATTTGATGCAAATTTGAAAAAAATTGGACTTATATCCCAGTAACCACCAATAATAGTACAATAATACCCCCAAAGGCTTTTTCTGGGTCATGAAATCAAGCAATATTTCATTTTTTTACAACAGTGACATGACTATGTCTGTGACAAATAACGCGTGATGAATTAATAGTGGAACCAGTAAAATTTCTCTTGTATCTGATATATATTTGATTATTCTGAATAAGGATATAGGTTGATAATGGCTCATGATAAACTTTTATTAAAAGCAACTTATTTTTTATTTTATTATTTTTGTCTGAGGGGGCACTAAAAAGGGGGCATTAAAAGTGTAAATTGTTTGAAAAAAATATTTTTTCAAAAACACACTCAACATAACTCAAATTTATCAAAGAAACTGTTGGTGATATTTATTTTTTTCAAATAGATACTAAAATTGGTCAAAATTTTTATTATTTAGATTACTGTTATTTTAACTCCCCTAGCAACGCACAAAGCAACCGTTTTAGAGTACTTTTTTTCACTTTTTTTAGCACTATTTTAAAGTTTATTTTAGATTTTTGTTTTTGCAAATAGCTTTTTGTTTGTACAACAGACATAATGCTGAGAAATCACGTGGTTCTTCTAGTTGACTTACTGATTTTGCATACTGATTTACATTTTTTCCAAAAACTAGTTGGAGTATATATTTATTTTTTAGTTTTATAACAATTTGTTTTATTTTATAAAATAATCTTGTGGCTGTTTAGCTATAAATACAGTATCGGACAAAACAAGTGCAACCAAATAATGGTAATTTAGTTTCTTTATATAAAAGCGCTGCATTTTTTTCAAGTTAGTGAAATAGCTATGTAACTATTTAGAGACAACGTTTTTCAAGTTTTATTCATCACAAAGTTCATTATTTGTACACGAAAATTAATAAATTAATCCAAAGTATTAAAAAAAGTTGATTTCCTTCTGGACAAAACAAGTACAACTCCACAAAATGTTGACCAAACTGTATTTCGCTATCAATATTTCATGGCGAATCCTTTGTTGTCAATCAAAGCCTTGCATCTTCTAGGCATAGATTCAATCAGGTGATCAATGAAACTTTGTGGAATCGCTGCCCAGGCCTTTTGGATTTGCTCAAACAATTGATCCTTATAACGAACACCTTCACAATTAATTCTGCGGTTGACGATCTCCCACAGGTTCTCGATAGGGTTGAGATCCGGAGATTGAGGTGGCCAATCCATCACCAATAGGTGGTTGTCTTGAAACCACTGCTTGAATACTTTTGCAGTGTGTTTCGGATTGTTGTCTTGCTGAAAAACCCATTTTATTGGCATATTCAGCATGAGGTAACATAACATCTTTCAGAATATTTTTATATATGAAACGGTCCATTATTCCATCGTTTCGATGTATTGGACTTAGACCGTTAGCAAAAAAACACTCCCAGACCATTACATTGCCTCCACCATGCTTCACGGTCTTATGGCAGTAACGTAAATCGAGGCGTTTTCTGGCCGGTCGACGTACACAGCAAATGCCATTGCTCCCAATGATGTTGAACTTCGATTCATCACTGAACAGGACAGTTTGCCATTTCTGCACATTCTAGTCAATATGAGATGTAGCAAACAGGAGTCTTTTCTTCTGGTTCTTTAGTGAAATCAGCAGTTTCTTTGCAGGGCGTCGAGAAAACAAGTTGGCTTCAACAGCACGTCGTCTGATTGTTCGGTCCGATACAGGCAGCTCTAATTGCTTTTGTATCTCAACTGATGATATCCAGGGATCCTTCTTGACGGATCTGACGATCATAGAATCCTCTCTAGAAGTGGTGGAACGCGGTCTTCCACCTTTGTTATCTGATGCCAACTTCCCATAGAACGATATTTGGAACATAGTCTTGATACGGTCCATTTTTTCACGCGATATTTATCACAAATACTTTTTTGTGACATTCTACTTACATAGTCGACAATAATTTTCTTTCTTAGTTCCAATACAAGATTGTCGGGAGCCATTTTTGCACTTGAAGTCATAAAAATAATAAAAATAAATAATCACGCTTCTCAAGGCTTACCGTGTGTAACATTTACCTTGTGATGATATAATAATGCCTTGTGGAACACAACGTCTGGATACTTCCTTTAATTATTAAAAAACTTCCGTGACGTTGACACGGACCAGACTTTAGAAAATGAAACAAACCAAAAAAGTTGCATTTGTTTTGTCCACTGCAAAATGGCACTTGTCAACGAAATTCTGCCTGTGTGCTGTCACCTGTCAGCTGATTGCTCATGTCATGGCATGCTATGACTACAGACTCCTGAACTGTTTGCTGTGGTAGTATAGTTCGTTTCGTTTTAAAGACATGTAAAATTAGGAACACTTTTTAGCATTGTTCGATGTTGGTTGCAAATGTTTTGTCCAGTACTGTAAGTTGTAGTATGCAATTTGTGAATTTAATGACTTTAAAGAAAGATTAGAAACAAAAAGTTTTGACATTGGTAGTTAAATAGTATGCGTATGACAGGATATGTAGTATGCGTACAACAGGGTTATCAATTTATGAAACTGTTTTTTTTATGAATAAAGTTGCATCTAATGTTTAATCATAGTCTATAGTGCAATATTTAATAGATAAAAAGATTCAAGACAATTATAATCATTATTATAAATAGAATTTCTATAAATCTTTTTTTAAACGTTTTTTTATGATATCAACATTGTACTAACTTTGCTTTACTGTGGCAAGGATATTTCAGAAACGGATTGACCAAAATTTATCATATTTAGACACTATGTATCAAGTTGTGCAATAAACCTCAAAATTATATGAATGTATGTGTTAAAAATAAAATATAATGATTTTTCGGTCATTATAATGGGTTAAAAATAGCGTTTTTTTTTTTTTTTTTGCATCCTGTAAAGAAATATAGCGCAATCCTAAGGAATAAGTAAGTTATAAGTTTTCGAGGTTCATTGCATACTTCTAACATCAAGCTAGGTATATGCAAAATTTTATTCTATATGATCTTCTGCATTAGAAATATTTTTGCCACAAAACAACCCTTCATTTTTTTTTTTTTTTTTTTTTAATTTTTATCTTAGTTTTATTTAGAATTTACTTAATATATAGAAAAAATTATTTAACTATCAAAAATAAAGATCTTTTTGTTTATGGAGTTGTGCCCCCTTAATATTTAAAAACAAATAGTTTTGTTAGCTAAGTTGCGAATGGAAAACTCAAAAAAAAAAAAAATTAAAGCCATGTGTTTAATTTACAAATTATTATTTTATTTATTTTTCATGTTTTATATGCAGCCACTTTGTGATGGCAGCCACAAGAAAACCGAAATGCGTCCTTATAAAATAACATCAGAAAAGGAATGTGAATTATGGTTTTGTGGTTGTAAACAAACAAGAACTCCTCCTTTCTGTGATGGTTCTCATCTTGAAGAAAGCGTTCAAAAATGTTCGTTGGGCACAAGTATTCCCTAGACAGTTTTATTTAAATAGTTTTATTTACTTCTATATTACGATTTGTTTTGTATTTTTATCAAATTTTTATAATAATTATATGTGATATATATATATATATATATATATATATATATATATATATATATATATATATATATATATATTTAAAAGATATTGCCTTAATAGTGCAAGATCCCGTGGCCGCCAGACTTACGTTAACGTGATTACAGTTACAATTTTTCGAAGTTTAACGGTGTCTGGCTAGGGGTTGTCATTATGATAACTGTCTGGGAATGGATGGCATGATTTCTAATTCTACTACGAAGATAATTGTAAAAATATTACGCTTTATTTTATTGACGTAGTTTAGCCGGTACTTTGAACACCTTTGGTACCTATTACCAGTCAAAACCACCATTATCTAAAGTACATAGTTGACCATCGCTTCTACTTGTGTTAGGAGTATGCGTTAAGAAATTTTTAGCTTTTATAAAATAGCGTAGATCTGGTAGCTTAGACTATAAATTTACCGAGCTGCTCAACCTCAAACCCCAGCGGGGTAAGTTACCGAGCTGCTCAACCTCAAACCCCAACGGGGTAAGTTAAGCTAATGTGTGGGACTAGTTGAACAATCAACAAAAATTTATGGTTTGTAAAGTATAAACTTTAAAAAAAACATTTGTTATTTCATAGCAAGTAAGTTGGTATCTAAACTGAGAAAAATGATTTCTTTCATTTTAAAAGTTTACGCTTATAACAAATAGTATCTAAAAAGTCTATATTTGAAGCGAATTAGTTAATAAACGTGTAGCTCATCTTCAGTAAAAAATTTGCAGCTGTAAAAAAAAAAAAAAAACTTGTCAATTCTATTCTTAAATGCATTAACTAACAGAGCCTTTTTGCATGCTGAAGGCAAGTTATTCCAATCATTGACAATACGACTTGTAAAAAAATTATAACGAGCATTGTTATATGTGAATTCATGCATTAGGACGTTGGATAGTGATCTGCGAATTGGTGGATTATGCCAATTGATAATCTCAGTACCGTTTTCTAGTTTAAACTCTAAGTTTCCATGTCGCATGAGAGTTCCAAAGTAGTAAAATGGAGACGCCGACACCTTTTAGCATAAAGTAATCCTATTATATCATGAGGTACTTTTGCTACTTTGTGCTGAATTTATTCAATTTTTTTAATGTCACCTATTAAGTAAGAACACCATACCAGAACAGCGAATTCCAGATGCGTTCTCTCCAAATTTTCAGATGCAGTTTACTCCAAAACTTCATATCTCTTAATCTAAATGTTTGTTTTTTAATAGGCCGAGTATCAAATTTGCTTTTCGTGTTGCAACTTGTATGTGTTGATTCCATTTTAGATCATTAGATATAAATATACCCAGGTCTGTCTCAATATCCGTTGTCTCAAGAGTAAACGATGTATTTCCATAATTTATTACATAACCAGGGTGCATAACTTTACACTTTTTAACATTCAATTCTATTAGCCATTCCTTTTGACCATTCTATGACAATGTTTAAATCGTTTTGAAGAATCAGATAAATATCTTGAAATTCAGGTCTTACCTTTTGTAACAGTTTAGTGTCGTCAGCATAGATTTTATGAACTAATTTTATCTTATCCGTTAAGTCGTTTATATAGATGATGAGTAATAATAGACTAAGTAGACTCTTGGGGAACTCTGCTTAGAACATCGGTCAGGTCGCTAGAGTGTTAACCTAAAACAGTTCGCTGTTTTCTATTAATCAAAAATGACTCAATCCATTTAAAAAGATTGCCATTGATCCCATATGCTTTCAATTTATGAAGTGGTCTACGGTGATTGTAATGTAACTTTTGTAATGTAGTCGACACTCTCCAATAAGTTAGACGTGCATCCTTTTTTGGACATATATCCATCTTAATTATGTGCAATACAGCTCGTTCTTTCAAGATATTTAGTTAACTGTTCCCTGATAATCTTTTCCATTACTTTACACGGAACTGACGTGATAGACACTGGTCTGTAATTATCGGCATCAAGACGACTTCCTTTTTTAAATAACGGTGTGACTGCTTCCAATGCTGTAGGTGTCGAACCTTCAAACAATGCTTTTCTAAACAATTATTAAACCTTCAAAAAATGCATTTGACCTGCGCATTCTTTAAGTATCTTTGGATTAATGTTATCAACACCAGTAGATTTATTTGGGTTCAAACCTTTCTAATAAGCTAACGTCGCTTCAAAGTTAGTTGCTATATCGCCTAAGTCTTCTTGATAATGATACTTGGACCTTTACTGTTTTTAATTTATATTAATGTTTATTTGTCATCAAAAATACTTAATTATATTATTTTTGCTGACGACACTCATGTTTTCTATTCTGATTCAAATCTAAAAAATATTTTTTGTAATGTAAACACTGAACTAACATATCTCAATGAGTGGTTTATAGCAAATAAACTTTCGTTGAATATTGAAAAAACAAAATATATTTTGTTTGCTAAACCATCCGAGAATCTTCCGCTTACACTACCAGAACTAGCTATTAACAATATTAAAATAAAAAAAGTGTTTTCAATGAAAATACTTGGAATAATTTTTGACGAACATTTAAATTGGAAAAGCCAAATAAAGCTAGTCGAGAACAAAGTCTTAAAGACTTTAGGGATAATGTATAAGACTAAACCTCTTTTGAACAAAATATGTTTAAAAAATTTATATTTTTCGTTTATACATAGTCATATTAACTATTGTAATAATGCCTGGGCAAACAATCACTCATCTTTCCTAAAAACTATTTACACAAAACAAAAGCAAGCAAGTCGATTAGTTTCGGGCATGGATAGATACGAAAGTGCCGAGCCGTTACTCAAGGAAATAAATGCCCTAAATGTATACAAATTAAACATCTACCATAACTTGTTATTTATGTTTAAACTTCAAAACGAATTAATTCCAAAATATTTTTATAAAAACTTCTCTCTTATTAATCATAAATATAAAACAAGACACTCAATAAATAATTACTACATCCCACTAACATTACTCAAAAAGTCTGACTTCTCAATTACATGTCGTGGACCACGCTTGTGGAACTCAGTTCTTGACGAAAATATGAAAAAAATAAAATCTATTGATATATTCAAAAGAGCTATAAAAAAACACTTACTAAGTTTAAACAATACGTACATTCTTTCATTTTTTTATATATATGTGTGTATACATTAGGGTGATGCAAAATTTGTAGGTTCAAAACTTTAGTTGTCCTCAAGCTTGCCCTTGTTCTATATGACAATAGTAGTTATTGGCCAAAATTTGAATCAAATCGGATGATATTTAGGGGTTGCCATGTTTTGTCACATTTTGGTATAAGGTTACAAAAAGTAAAAATAATTTTTTATTTTTACATTTTTTATATTATATTACTGAATTATTTATTATCAATTTCTTATTATTATGTGGTGGATTGTGGATGTTCAATGTTAAAAAAATCAATACTATAGTACTACTATGTAATTGCACTAGGCAATAATAAATCAATCATCTTCATCATTCAACAGTCATCTTCATCAGGGTAGACTTTGATGCAACTGGAAATTCCTTCCGGTGAAGATCAACCAATCTAAGAAGAAACTGCTTTTGGTTTTCATCTTTCGTAACGCTTGAGTTAAAGGATGTTATAAGTGCTATGCCTCGTTCCGCGCAATCGTTGACGACTTTCATTTGACCAACCTTGTGCTTCATTTCAAGATATGTTGAATCCATTTCCCACTCTGAAGATTCTTTCATTAAAAATGATTCAGCTTTTTCTTTTCCATTTTTCAAAATTAGATCGAAAAGTTCTGCGGTGCGTTGTGTGACAAAGGAAGGCAATGGGCTGTGACATTCGAATGTGGCAGCATCAAGTCTTTTGAGAGATTTCTGCCTTGGCTGTTGTTTCAGGTTGTTTGCCATGTCTCTCTTGGTGTTGTTGTCGACACGGGAATCGAAGAAAGCCAATTCTATTAGATGTTCAGAAAAATACCAGAGGTGGCGATGAAAAGCTTTTGCTGCATTAATTGCAATTGTACGATTTGGATATTCTTGAATCCGTTGAAGAAGCTTGGCATCATTGAATGGTGCTCGTTCAGCTAACGGAGCTTCATTCCAAAACTGTCCGTATACAAATGCCACAAAAAGACTTATATCTGTTATTCCTTTCTTTTCCTTTGCAGTAATAACAAATTGATCCTGAAACAAATATATCTTTATACAATATATAGCTTTTGCCATCCAACGTGCATTGTGTGTTGCACCTGGAGCCCGAAACTTCACTTTGAACTCCGATGTTGTAGTTGATCCTCCAAGAAAAATAAGGCACAAGTTCAAGAGTTCTAAGTAATCATCCCTGGGTTGTTGACCTTTAATTGCTTCACTATAATATACTACCATTTCTTCACGGAGTTTGAGAAAAAAATCGCAGTTGTAAAATTCTTTATTCCCTATAGTGAACACCTCCTTGTTGATTGCTGGCCATTGTTTCTGGAAACGGTTAAAAATTCCAACTTCAGGTCCTCCACTGGTTCCAAATGCAGTCGTGAAAATGGTGGAAAGCATGACTTCAAACATATGGTGCCTGCATGCTATCCATATAAGATTACGGTCAAGATTCTGCTCCATTATTGTGCAGGCACCATTGTTCAACCCAGTGTTAGATGAAGTAGTGTCAAAAACCAGTCCCCGAACAAGTTCTTTCAATTTCCAGTCTTTAAGAGCCTTCATGCAAGCATCAGCCTGTTGCTCACCTGTACCTCGATCAATCTTTGGAACGCCCAGCAATTTTTCCACCCCACCACCAGTCACAAGGATGGCAATTCTATCCACTTTTTTTTGACCACCAGTGATATCAGGTAAGAGCTTTCCATCCCAATGCAGAAGAAGTGGATCATCAGGAGAGAAATCAACCTTGTCAGCTGTAGTCACCGCTTCACGAACAGATCGCCTTTTTCTGCGGTTTGTGCTGTACGACAATGATAAATCTTTTACCGAGTGACCAAGAGCCTGAGACACTGTTCCAACCACGAAGA